TCTAACTCTTAGCTTTTGTTATATTTATCTACGTCTTCTAAGCCTGCCTAAAAACTGTAAGCCTGCTTTTTTTTACTCTCTTTCTCTCTCTCCAGAAAGCATATTATATTGCTTAAAGGTACTTTTCTGAAAAGGTGTTGGCTGGAAAATGATGATAATGTGCTTTTACAAGCTTGCTTGCAATTTGATTTTCCTCTGCATCTTGTACTTCCTTCTTTTCTGCATTGACAGTTTGATATCTTCTTTGACAGTTTTTGACAGCTTAGTTTGCCTTTCTTTGACAATTTGGTTTTCCTAGTTTGGTTGGCAGTTTTGTTTGCCTTTATGCATTGTGCAACTTGTTTGTTCAGTTTGCAATTTGGTTTGCCATTTCAGTTTGGTTTGCCTCTTTGACAATTTGAATTTATGCAGCTTTGTGCATTTTGTTTAATATGTTGCATTGTATTTAATTAATTCATATGCTTGCAAACAATTTTACTTTCCTCTTTGTGAACCAAGAAGAGAAATTTTCTTGTGTTTTGCGAAGAGGATGAGCAAAATATGATGAAAATCAAAACAAACTGATTCCGGCCAACAACCTTTAATGATGAGTTTTCGCTTATGTGTCTGAAAAATGCTTTTCCAAATTAAATGTTATTGACTTTTCTTTTTCTGTCTTTGCAGGTAAATATCAATTGGGGCAAGGGAAGCAGCAGTAGAAGATGAAGACTTCAAGAAATTTAGGATGTAGATTTAGTTTATTTTATTTTTAATCATTGTAATAAACGTTATTGTAAATACTGTAAATAAATTTAATGTATCAAATAAACATTTGTAACAATAATTGAAAATGAATAAAAAATCTTTTGTCAGATAATTCTTGATTTCTTCTGCAATTGCTTATTTAATTATTTAAATTTCTTGAGTATTGGAAATTATCCCAATAATCTTAACTTAGAAATTATAAATAATCAACAAACGTCGCAGTCTCACAGCTTTGCATTAACCAACAATACTTCCGGCATTCCAAATAACCAAAAGCATTGCACAAATAAACAAACAAACGTCCATACGCCTTTCACTTCACTGATTAAACAACACTTCAAACTCTCAATTCAAATGCCTCAGCTTTTATCCCAGATGTTTAGATTTTGAGAATCAAACAGAAATCTTGAACAAGCGTCAAAGCAGTGTGACAGTCAATTGAAATACTGTGGATTCAAACTCTTCTGAGAATGCGCGCGCAAACCCTAATTTTGGATTTATTGTCAAAGAAACGTATGCTTGATCAAACCCTGAGCCAAACTCAAACAAATCAATAGAAACCCTAATAATCTGCTTGGACTGATTCAAAAGTTAATGGAAACCCTAATTTTGTTTGACTGATAAGAAAAGTCCGTTTGATCGATTCTTGAGTCAATCTGAAAAATCAGGAAAACCCGAAGCTGTGATTTCTTGTGAAAAAGAGGAGGGCAAATTTTGGGGTACAACACCATGTATAACACTCACCCATCAAAAAAATGGTTATTTCATGCGAGTTACAACATGGATAGAGAGACTCTAAGCTGGTTGAAAGCAAATAACCCTATAATCATGTTATATGAAGAAGGTGTATCTATAACAAGATATCTTACCTTGATCAACCTTGTAATCATCTTAGGGATGTGGTATTTATAGGAACCTATTAGGCATGGATCATAGAGCCCAAGAAAACAATAACAACATTTTTCCTCTCTCAAGAGCATAAAAAATGAGTAGTTACTTAGCCTATTATACTTGAGAATGTGTCTTTCCTATTTGAGTTCCCTTTCTCTACCGTTACTAGGTAGAGACACGTCATTCTCCATGTTCTCATTATTGGACAAATAATGTAGACAACAAATGACATAACATGATAATGGATACACGTTTTAATAAATAGACAATTACGAAACTTATTGGGGCCACATATCACACCGCATGTCCTTAAAGAACTCTTGTGCTGCCTCTTGTAGACCTTTTATAAACATGTTCATGGATCTAAATACTTTTTCAAATAGAATTTCTTTCTCCACCTCTATGTTTTTTTAAGGCCTTTGACGAAAAATCCAAAATACTCACAGATTTTGGATGTACATATTCGAATGCACCATATTTTTCAAGAATAAGTGGGTTCACATGTGTATATCTGAAGTCACCTTGATTCATTTTTTATTAAGTTGACTTCACATATGCATATCAGAAGTCACCTGATTACATATTTCAGATATACATATCCGAATTTATCTCTGGGATAGAAGAATCAACATAACTCCACATAATTCATAACATAGATTCAACATAGTTCATAACATAGATTCAACATAATTCATCGAAATTACATATATAGTTCTACAGAAATTTAAAATTACATATTGTTATAAATGGGTAATTGAGGATGTTGCAACATTTTGATAACTTCTTTTCCCGATCTTTGAAGCTTCGCATCCACCTCAATCAGACCCTTAGAAGAGTATTGTTGAAAAGTACCCCACATAACCTCTAAATTGTCGTCGTTCTTGAGCTCAAACGGGATGAACTTTATGTTTCCTTCAGTGTCAAGTCAGGATGAATGATACTCAAGCTTGACCACTTTGTGATTCTCTGGATATTGCGAGAGAGAAATCAGTGTGGTAATCAGTTCAGGGAACGACGTGTCATGCGAGAACCTGAATTGAAGTGGTGAAACTTGGATACTGAAGTAGACAAAAGCAAGGTGTGGATATGTTTGTGTCATCATACCTAACACGGGCAAAAAATCATAAATTATGTTAAAACAGAATTCTCTTTCTGTAACAAACATGTTTTCAGATATGCACATCTGAATTATGGTAGGTTGAATTCAGATATGCATATCTAAAGTGACGTTGTGAGATAAAATGATGAAAGTTTACCTCAAATTACAAGGAATGTGAGATGAAATGGTGAAAGTTTACCTCAAATTGCAGCTTTCTATGTTCTCTTTGCTATGCTCAAACACTTGAAACTTGGTTTGGAGACCAAAAAATTGATTGAGAATGGTTGAAGTTTTGTTGAGGATTTTGGTTATGGGGGAAAAGAAAATGAATGAAATAGTGGTAGGGGTGACCATGCTGCAATCAAATATGACAAGGACAGTTTCAGATATGCATATCTGAAACTACCTCTAGAATTTTAAATCCAATGTTTAAGTATTAAAACATGAAAAAAGGGTGACTTCAAATGTGCATATCCGAAACATACAGAAAGGTGTGTTCGGATATGTACATCTGAAGTGTATTTTCGAATTTTCAAAGGTTTAACTCAATACATACATGTGGATAAAGAAATTCACTTTTTCAAATTGTCTTCGTAGATCTATTATTTTTTTTCAACCTCTCTCATTCTAATTTAAAGCCCAAACCATATAATTTATAGAAGAGGATTTCTTTTTCCACCCTATAGTTTTCTAGTGCACCACACGAAGTTATAAAAGTGCCTCTAGAAATCGGAAATGCATTTTTAGGATGCACAAAGATTTGATAAAATGTAGGCTGAAACCATAATTTAATTTTCGGTTTGTACTCAGACTTACATTTTCGATTTTGTACTACACAGAAAGCAGAAAAACAACATTGAATAATATCAATTTCACAAATTCAAAATGCAATTCATATCATAACATAGATAATACATTAAGGATTGAAACATACATCAAACATTACACTTCAACATCCACGTGGACGTTGCAACATCATGATAATATCATCTACCGATCTCGAAATAGTCGCATCTAGCTCGATCGAAACTTTTACTTTAAAATGGATGAAAGTATTCCACATAGCCCGTATATTAGCGTCGTTCTTCGGCTCACGGTTTATGGAAAGATGAAGAAATGACTTTGATTATCCTTATCCATGATGAATATTGTTTTAAGTAATATGCATTTTTCATAATACCGAAAATATATTTCAGATAATATATAAAATAATAAAGTGACAGAAAATTCAATCATCCCTCTATACAACCTAAAAATATAATAGTGATTACAACAAAAACTATAATTTCGATTCTATTTTTAACTTTTAAATAAAATAAAACCACGTTTAATTTATTTGTATTTGTATGTAATGTATAGTACACATCATAAATACATTTCTAATTTCATAGAATTTTTATTTTCTATGGAAAAAGAAATTCTGTTTATAGAATACTCCCGAAATGGATCTATATGAAGGAGTATATATTTTGACAGCTCTAGTAGACTTTTGAAATGTGATTTTGTATATAATATTTTTTCGAAGATGTAAACTTTATAAATATGCCCCTACAACCTTTTACCATTTTTAGCCGCGAGAAACCGGAATGGAAGGGTTGGTGCTTGGGAGAAAGTAGAGAGAAAGTGAGAGCACAGACTTTGTTCTTACTTTCACGTGGGCTGATATCATTATAACTCCCACAACCGCTCCTCTCATTGCAACTTCCACATCATAATTTAACATTTTTTATTTCACTTCATAACAAAATATTGAAAAGTAATTTTCTTCTCTTTATAATCGTGAAAAGATTCCCCAAATAAATACTAGTACTATTCAATACAATAATAATGAAAGAGAAAGTACATTCAGATTTAAAAATTCAATATTCTCTACAGCTTCATGTCATTTCATGAACATGAATCAAAGATTACATACACAATACTTTACAATAATAATCATCACCATCAACTCGCCCCCTTCACTCGGATCTCAACTCGGGACGACTCGCTTCTAGCCATCTCCTTATATCATTCCCCGGAGCATTGTAAAATTCTTTTTTTTTTTCATTAAATACAATACAACTGAGATGGCTTTAAAAAAAATACCTCATCCCTCAAATTTTCCAATTCTCACCACCTAAAAGTAAAATTAGGGTTAAAAATCAAACCCGCAACTTCAGAGATTAATCACTCATGAGATCAGATACCTTCACTTAAATGCAGGTGAGTTAGAATCCGGGTGAGTAAGGGTCAGAACCGAATCAACCGGTCTGGTTCGGTTGGACCGCTACCAAATATTTTTGTCACTAAGACCATGGAGGAGCGGTCGAGATTCAGGCCAAAAATCCACGGTAGTTCTAATTCCGACGTGGCAGCGTTGTTGAAAATCTTCAAACTCGAGATTAACGAACCGGTTCGATCCGTTGTTAGACCGGGAAATGAACCGGAGAGCTTCTTCGAAGAATTCTTCATCGCAGGGGATGGTGAGAGGTCCGTGGTTAGAGAAACCGTATTCTTCTTCTGCTTGAACGAGAAGCTTCTGGAAAATGGGGTGGTTCAGGTACGTCGCGCGCATGATAAATCTGGTGTAGTTTGTTCCGACGCAGACTGCCACGTGTCCCGCTGGGACATCCGACGGCGCACGATTAGCTGATGACATGCGTGCTTTGTTTCGCCACCGGCGTAGCATCTGGCGGAGGCGTACAATGTGGCGGATTTTACTGCATTTGGCAGACATTTTTTGTTTGTGCTTAGGTTTGTGTACGGTGAGAGGTTGCTATTTTCGCTGCTTCTACAGTGATGTTGTTTTTTTGATGTTTGACCAAGTTGCAACGTTAGAGTAGAGAGAGATGAAGTTGAAGACAGAGAGAGAAAAAAGCAAGTTAGTGAGGGGTTTTGTATAGTGGGTGGAGATTGATGATTTATAGAAGCGAGGTTGGGATAATACCCTTGGTGTTTCGTTATAATTACTAACTAATATCTGTCGTTTTGTATATTCAAAAGTGGTAAGCACTTACAACTACAAGTCACTAATAATGTGCTCTCTCACTGTATAATTACTATTTCCTCTATCTTAAAATGAATCAACTCTTTGAAATAAATGATTTTTTTATATTTTAAATATCACTATTTCAAATTGTATCTATAATAATATTATTTTAATTTTTCTTAATTTTTTTTTAATTTTATATTTACGATTAACATATATAGAGCACTTGAATAACTAGAAACCTCATCCAAAAAATTAGACTAGATCTTAGACTATTAAGACTATTAAGACCACCATCAACACATTAGACTATAACAAAAGATAATTTAAAGCCACAAATTATCAACTTCAAAATCGAGATCAACTATTGACCCACTATTAATTTAGTTAGAGGATAGAATTTGGAAGTCAGTGAAAGTGTACGAGTCCACAGCTACCTTACATAAAAATCATTTGCGAAAAAAAAAAAATTCTTCTTCTACATTTTCTTCACAATGGTTGAAACACCTTTAAAAATATTGTTATAGGTCGGCCAAAAGCTCAAATAGCACAAATCTAATTTGTCTCAAATTTATTGAATTTGACCTAAAATATAAAAGATAGTTCAAAGAAGGGACATTCTTTGATATTCATTTTTCAATATATTGATATTGAATTTTGAACTGACTTAAGTGTCATAGTGTTAATCATGTAGGTACACCTGACTGTTGAAATATTAAATTAAATTATATTTGATTTGATTAAATTTAATATTTAATATAATCCAAATTGTGTTAACCCAAGCCCAATTAGAATGGTATATAAATAGTCATAGTGTGTATCATTATTTTGTACAATTGAATAATACAAATTTTTATTTCCTTTATTATTCTCTCTTTCTCTCATCACTAAAAGTATCTCACACACTAACAAATTGGTATCCAAAATCTCCTCAAGAACTTTTTTTCGTTGACTGAAGCTCCTTCAGGATATTCTTGAGCCTCGAGATACCTTTTGACTTCATGAAACCAAGGTCGGTCCACTACTTCTTCGGTATTAATCTCGTGACAATGTGCAGGTTCGTCCATCCGCTCAATGGTGATTTGGGGAGCCTCATTATCCCAATTAAGTTTAAACATGGATGACATTGTAGCTAGAGCATCTGCTAGCTGATTTTCTTCTCGCGGGAAGTGCTCGAAGGTAATCTGCTTGAAATGTGGTAACAATGTCAAGACATGTTCTTTGTAAGGGATGAGGTTTGGATGTTTAGTATCCCACTCTCCTCTGATCTGACTGATGACCAAAGCTGAGTCCCCAAACACAATCAAAGATCTGATTCCCAAGTCTACGGCAGCCTTGAGTCCAAAGATGCAAGCTTCATACTCTGCCATGTTGTTCGTACAGTTGAAGCAGAGTCTGGCGGTGAAAGGTGTATGGCAACCTTCTAGGGAGATGAGTACCACGCTGATACCGTTGCCAAGCGCATTGGAGGCACCATCAAAGTACAGGGTCCATCAGGATCCTTGTTCAAGTCCGTCATATGGTCTGAAATCTTCAACGTTGTCCAATGTCATAATGTCTTCGTCGGGGAAGTCGAACCTCATGGATTGGTAATCTTCGACAGCTTGATGGGCCAGATGGTCAGCTAGTACACTCCCCTTTATAGCTTTTTGGGTTGTGTATTGTATATCGTATTTCGTTAGGATCATCTTGTTGGCTGGAGATTTTGATAGTATTATTAGAAGCAAAGTAAATGGAACATTTCGATTGAAATGAAACAAAATGTCATGTTTCGAAATGATAGAAGCAGTGCTTCGAATGAGCATATCAAAGCTTGGAGCTTCGAGTGACAGTTATGAGAATATATCCAAAGAAGTCTCGAAATGACAACAAGGTTGTGTCTAAGAAGTGCGTTCGAAGCGAAGAAGTACCAAAACATTTGAAATTCAAATGCAAGCGGGATGTTCGAACTTTGAAATATATGCGCTGGAGCATTCGAAGACACGTGGAAGCAAGAGAGAGGCATTGCTCTGCATGTTCTGAACGTGGCAGAATCTTATAGCAAGACCGTTATGGTCGAAGTAGTATAAATAGAAGTCTTAGCATTAGGATTTCGTGTGTCATATCTATTGTACAAAAAAACTCAGTAAACATTCAAATTACCACATGGCTAGGGAAACGAATGCAAGAGCAATGTACGTATGATAACACCACATGTTTATGATTTAATGAAAACCCTTTATCATTTCCAGTACTTTCCTTATCTTTATGTCAATACCATTTACAAGTTTTTGCATCTAAAGTCTTTTTATTCGAAATCTTTTCACTGATGCCTTGCATTTAATTGCTTTCCTTCCATTTCAAATACTTTACATTTCAGAAACTGTTATACATTTCATGCCTTTATCTTCAAGTTTTTATCCTTCGAACACCTTTTTTTACTTAAAGCAATTTTACAGTTTTCTTGCATTAAACGCTTTCTTCATATTTCGAATCTTTTACATTAACTGTGTTTTGTTACGTTTCAAATTCATTTACTTGTCTTTTATGCAGTTTTTACATGTCTTTACAATTGACCTTTATTCATGCAATTTAGTTTTGTGCACATATATTTTGATTACACCTTTAGATCTTTAAGAGAGAAATCGAAATAAGTCAAACACCTACACAACATTCCAAACACCAACCATGAATACCTGTTCGATCATGAGAGTTACCCTAATGACCAACACGTCCTAGGATCAATCTAGTCGATCCTGCGAGTTACCAGAGAAATTGAATAACAGTCAGTAAGTTTATTCGATAGTTTGGAGGACTAGCAGTTGTTTACCAGAAATCACTATAAACAAATTGGCACACCTGGTGGGACCAATCGTTGGACATTACAGAATTTAGAACAGAAATAAAGATTGTTGAGACATAACCATTATAAAAAGACCCTCTGAGTGATAAGTTTGTTGTTTTATGAACCTAAGAAGTGGTAAAATAACCAACAACAATCAACCCTTATCCAGAAGAAAACGTTTGAACAAGATGTCTAATTCTGACAATCAACAAGGGGAACAAAATGCCCCACATACAACAGGCACTAACGTGTCCGCTTCGATGGGAACGTCTAATGTGATCCCTTCGAATGCACAGTCTGTTGCATCTTCTACCAGTAATATAGCCACTAATGGAGTAAGTGGCATATCAACTAATAGTTCGATCTTAGGAAATACTGGAACCATTGGTTATCCTGGGGGATTTGTTCCACCATCAGGGACACAAACCCATTTCGCCACTCCACTAACTAGACCACCTGGTTTCGATAGTAATAGAACCAGAAATTCCTCTTATGGAATGCCAACATCTTTTATGGCAGGTTTACACAATTCCACATCGAATTCATCACCACAATTAGGGTCTGGGTCTGGGGCGAATCAGTTTATGACAAATAACCAAGGGTCAGTGGGTTATAGCACAATGCCTATTTTAACCACAGAAAACCAGTTGGCTTTTAGGCAATTGATGGATGACAGTAACCATAATATGATAGGGGTATTAGCACAAACTATGCAGGAAATATTTGCCCCAATAGTACAAAATGTGACTGTGACAAACAGAGAAAACGCTGATAACATGAGTCGAATAGCAGATTTCTTTGCTCCCCCAGAGAGGCGTAGGCAGAATCAGGCGGGAGTTCGAGCAAACATGCCTGTTATGGAACAAGTTGCTAACGACCCAAACTATAGACCACCTAGAGAAGAAAACTTGGAGGCAAGGGCACAAAGGCTAGAAGCCCCAATGATCCCAGGCCCACAAAGAGAAATTATAGAACCAGGGGCAAGGGTCGAAAGGCTGGAAGTCCCAGAGTTTCGAGAAGAACAACCTAGGGGGGTTGTCATGGTGGGTCGAAATCAAGATGCTGATGCTGTCGTTCATAGAATTCGAAACGATAACATCTTGGCAGAAAACAATTTAACCACCATGATAGAGAGAGTCATGGCCCAGAATAGCCTCAACACAGGAATGAGAAGGCCAAATTATGCTTCTCCTATATTAGATTGCATAATGCATACTGATTTACCAAGGGGATATAAAGTCCCTAAATTTACAAAGTTCGCTGGGGATACCAATGAGTCAACAGTCGAACATATAGCCAGATATCTAACCGAAGCGGGAGATATAGCCAATAATGAAGACCTCAGGATCAAATACTTCCCAAGTTCCCTGACTAAAAACGCCTTCACATGGTTCACCACTTTGTCTCCTGGGTCCATTGACACTTGGGCTTTTTTGGAAAGATTATTCCATGAACAGTTTTACATGGGATAGTCAAAAATAAGCTTGAAGGAATTAGCCAGTGTCAAGAGAAAGTTCACTGAACCCATAGATGATTATCTGAATAGATTTAGGCTTTTGAAATCCAGATGTTACACAGTGGTGCCTGAACATGAGTTAGTCAAAATGGCCGCTGGTGGCTTGGATTACTCTATTCGAAAGAAACTAGACACTCAATATTTGAGGGACATGGCTCAGTTAGCCGACAGAGTTCGACATGTCGAAAGGCTAAAGGCCGAAAAGGCCAGAGTCTTTAAAAATAATAAGAAGGAAAGGATCTCCTATGTTGGAACTGAGGAAGCAGAAGATTATCCTGAATTCGAATTCGAAGAGGTCGAAATCGACCTCGCTGAATTAAAACAGGCACCACCCTACTCCTGCAAATTATTAGTTCCCACAAAAGGGAAAGAGATTGTTGAAAATGAGAAAAGTGACAAATTCCCAAA